TTTAGACTACGAAATAATACTAAGATATGCCCCCGGGTCAAAAAAAAAAACTAATTTGGAGTAGTTCTTTTGTTTGATGGTCCACTTCGGTCAGTTTCATTTGAATCCACCTATTCACAACATGTTCGGAATAAACTAAGGTAATGACAAACTCTTTTTGATTATACTATGGAAGAGTACTAAGCCTCGCTTCCTCGCTTAGGCGTAATCATATGATCAACGTGAACTCAATTGGGCACAAACAATAGCCATCTCCGATTTCACGCAGGCTATCGTGATCAGTCGCTCAAAAACTCAGTCAAGTACCGCTCTTCATTTCATGGGGGCTGATCAGAGATCCTACTAACAAGGAAGAAAAACTATTCGATAATAATCTATCCTCGGATGTTCGAAAAAAGTAAAGTTTCGAAAAAAGCTGAAGGAGAAACCGTACAGAAGACGATGAACGGCATTGAGTAGGCGACACTGGTCATACCGAATCCCAGTAGAAGTAGCAGTCCTATGGCAGAAGCAATGGCCATCGCAGCGGATATGACACCACCGATGGCAAGCCTGCAACATCACCTATTCTCCTAAGGAATTGGGAAGCTGGATGGCAAAAGTACTCACCAAGGCCTCGATCTCCTCCATGAAAATACGCAACACATTGCTATAGTGAAAAGCGAAACCGCGATGAAGCATGGGCCGAGCATTCTAAATCAAATCTACTTAAATTATGAGCAGGAGAAGGGAAACTTTACAATATAGGGGACAACATGCTGTTATCATAATTAAAAGTGTTTTTCTCACCTGATCAACTGGTTGCGATCCCTAGCACTCTCGGCAGCCAGCGTTTCGTAAGTCCACCAGTTTGCGCGGATCACTGGTGAATCGTACTAAATGACCATTGTTTTAACGGTAGATAATCAAGTGTACATCCAAATAATACAGCAAGATTCTTTATGCCAGAATTTCGTTATATTTCTGTAAAGATTATGATTATGAACACCATTACACGCTTCATAATAGCCTATGTATTGGCAGAACCTCCCCAAGGGTCCAAAAAGCCTTCCTCAAGGTTCTGAAGTTNCCCCCCCCCCCCCCCCTCCTCCACATCCTCTTGCCCGCCCCTCCCCCTCCTTGGAAGCAAGGAGACAGCAGACCTTGTTTTGGCATTCTCGATGGAGGAAATCGTGGTCTCCTCCATTTCTTTCATCTATTAAATGGCAATGGATCAGTCAACAATACCCGTGATCGGTGAAGAATTGGGCGGGGAGTGGGACAGGGCTCATCAGCTTCAGCAGCAATACTAATTACGTGGATCGGAACTAGTTACGATCGATACGCATGCTTGAGCTGCTGACTACATCCACATAAGAGGTAGAACATGCTTGATGCTCATAATCATATACCAAACTGGCATTAAGAGACTAAACATTAAGTGTTAGGAAGGTGAGTAAGAATGTGCATTGAGGAAGTGAAACAAACATGAAGTAGGAAGTCGGCAAGCCGTAGCTCCCACTGTTCTGCCAGCCAGTCTTCACCTCGTGCCGAATGTCGTAATGCGTACGGCAGCATCATCGCTTTTGCACCTTAAAATGCAGGATTACTGTTTATACAGCACGACCAGCAGCAATTCCACGATCTTGTTTGTTGTTCGTTTGTTTATTTCGTCTTCATGGTCTACATAGGAACCTGTAATAGGGTTCCCTAACTTCACTTCATGCTCACCTGCAATCCTCTTCTCGCTGTCGAGTGTGACTCCACCAAGTAGATGAATGATGCTACCGGCATCGAGGTGAATAGCTTCAGTGATTTGTCCCAACGTCATCTCATCGATTGACTGGTTCACAAACGATCGATCCGAGACCAGCAGCAGCTTGAACATTTCCACCAGAGGATTGGAGACGCAGATTTGGTCAGGCCTGGAAGAGATGAAAGTAGGGAGGCGATATAATGTCAGGGACTTCCAGATTTTCACAGCTGAGTGTTTACGTGTGGGCTCCCTCACACATTTCTGCTAATAGGTTGACGTTATTAAAGGGATTGACGGAAAGTATAAGAAATCCAAGAGAAGTTCAGTCATCGTGGGTTTAGGGTTCGTTTTGACTGGTGGTAGTGATTTTCCCTTCACATCAACCTCAAAGTGGAATATGCGTGAGGCACCCTTGGATAGCTCAACTTCATAAGATCGATGAATCCAGTGCCTACTCGACTTTACCGAAGTTTTAGTACTTCATCAGTCTTGTCTATCACTTCCCACACTTCTGCGTGCAGAAATCGTTTTGGGACAGTTGCGAAAATGACACTTTTGAAGCAGGATAGGGGAAGATTGGCGTCGATCTTCAAACAGATCAAGTTTCTTCGGCGCTAACAGAGCAGCTCAACAAAACAGTGCAAATAAGGTCGGTGAGTGGTCAGGATAAACCGGCGGAATGTTTTTTTTCTGAAGTGGGAGAAGCTTTACACGTCAGAAACTGCGGCAGGACGAGTTGGATCCAACCTTGATTCCGGTCCCATCATCTTTGAGTCTTCGATCTTTTCAAGAACTACTCCATGCTCAGTTAGGTACCTGAGATGCCTCTAGTAGTGTCACAAGAAACGTAACTGTCTTAAGATCCACTGGGCTTAAGCACTTATTTTTCGAGGGCAGGAAGCTTGTACAATCAGGCACAGATCTCCAGTGCGGAACGTGATCCTGATAAGATCATAGCAAACCACTTCGACCTGCACACCAAGTGCCCTAAAATTCCTCTTCAAGACCTCCCTCCAAAGCTGAGTGATCTCTCATGTTTCCTCTCTTTTTTCACCGATTCACAAGCGATCGAATTAGGAATTCACAACATTTTAAGCTTTCCGTTTCTCCTATATAATCAGTCCATTAAGAGAGGCTCAGAGTGTCTTAATTGTTGACGAGCCAGTTCAGGTGTTACGAAGTCCCGTTTTGCGCAAAGGTGCGATCTTTCGAGGGTGTTCGTCGAGCTGTCGAGAGGCATCTTGGACTGAACCAACTGAGCGCATTTCGTTTGTCTTCGAATAAGCGAAGCGTCAACGACGTATGCGCAAATACACCACCGATAGACACACGAAAAGCTGAAATCTTCAGGGGATTACAGAAGTCTCGACTTAAGCCACGCGAGACAGAGGTTACAAAGAGGAAGGCATAGGGAAGCGCGTGCCAGTGGTACCAATTAAGCTGGTACGCAGATTTCTGAGTTCCCATGAATATGTATTCCGCGTCTTCGCCTTTGTACGCACTTCCCACAGTGAGTATTCATCCCTGGAGGCGTTAAAACATTGTTGACTAGAGGTGGCCCTTACGCTATCCCTACAAGACTTGAGGAAGCACTCTCTCCCAAATTCGATCATCTCAACGCCACTGCTAGCAATTCCATGTTTTGGGATGATAGCACCTGGAGGGAGTTTCAAAGGAATTCCTTTTGCGTGTTCATCGCTAGGGTCATCTAATGTTTGGGCAACGACGTCCATTCGCAACAACAGGATTACGGTACGGATTAACAGTTGTCGAGTCAACACACTTCGGACGGACGAGACTAGCGTCGATAGAAGAAGAACGTGTAAGCACTACGTTCAGCAGATACTCACGATGCACTAAAGCAGTCGTCGAGCCGACACATTCCCAAAAAAGAAGAAGTTTTTGGGTGAGAAACGTGAGAGGGCGGAGAACTTCTGGAAGAGAAAGCTGGAGCTTTTCTCATTCGGTCTCTTCTCAGAAAGATTGCCCTCAGGTCATTGTCAGGCCATTTCTTTGCAGTCAAGTAGGCCAGATCATGCGGAAGTTGATAGAAAATCTTTCAAGCGTTCCTACTCATGAGTACAGTAAGAGGGAACAGCAAGAGGAACGAGATATGGAGATTATTCTTAAGCCCTAACCAATGCTCTTCCACGAGGAAATTTTTCAAGTTCAAATTGATGAAGACTAAACATTTCAAGAAGTTTCACTAACAAAAAAGGCAGATAAAAGAAGTAATCGCTCACGTGGTCATATTCGAGCTGAAGAATTTGTGTAAAGTGCGGACGAACTCAGGTGGAATAGGAAATTTTACACAGATCCCTGGATAGTTGATACGACGATCGTCTTTGTCTTCTACTGTCAGTGACTGAAGCAAAACTTTTACTATTTGGGAGCTTATTTGAGGGAAGAATATGATTCCCTCCAATACTTACTTGAACAATACTCCACAGTTGCATGGCTGCGTGCATGACTAGCGGGTTCAGTACGTCTTCGTCTTCATCCCGATGGGTGATGATGATATAACCTGCTCGTTTTATGTCATATCTGAAAGAAGAAGCTGTAGTTGAATATCCTTAGCAGAGAACTCGTTTGGACCGTTCGTTTGCTAAAATAAGACTCTGTAGCTTTGAAAAGTAGCTTTTCGGAAACCGCTCAGCCCATAGAAGTCTCAAATGTCCATTCTCCAAAAAAGGATTGACCTCTCCCTGATCTGCCCTTTTGAGAGTTGCATGATCATGAGGTGAAGGTTCAGAATTTTTTTTTTGTTCAAGGTGAGCGGAATTTTGCGAAAACTATGGTCCAAACGACTGAGGTCCCAGCTAATGGGCTAAGGTTCCATTAATTGTAAGAATAGAAAGCAGAATCCTCGGATCTCGCTCAGCAAACAGCAGCCTCAAATGGCTATACCGCAATGGATCGAGACCTCTGTGCAGTTTTTTCAAAGAGACGTTTTCTTAAGGAATTAGAGTGGTGCAATTGGCGGCAATAGAAAGGAACCTTGTTTTCACCTGCAGAAGAAGTTCGCGTGTAAAGCCAACAAAACTGTCACGTTTGACACGACCCTCAACCGGCCGGATTGGAAAGAGGAAGGGAGATGTTTGCTTCATTGCTTTCATGAACATTTTTCGGAAATGCTGGAGTGAAGGCTGATTTACCTCCGGGTTGCGTAGAACGGATCCGAATCATTGATGTGGAACAAGGAATCGAGTTCGCGCACCTCAACACGGGCCTGGGCATCAGTTGGCGTATAGAGCTCGAGCTCATCCTGGAATAATAACAGCTTGAGTTGTAAACTATTATATACTAGCTTTTATTTTAATCTTTTATTCTGTTATGTAGTGAAACATATAACTAAGATAGTCAATAATCAGAGTGTTTGGGATTGGTCAATTCTGTTTTCGGATGCTCCCCAGNGGAAGGGATCTCTCCTCACCCAAACCTCTCCGTAATTTGAGAACTTCAACGTAACAGAACCATCCGAGCTTACCGTTCATTCCTTTCTGACTAACCCTTACCAGACCTTTAACAAAGGATAAAAACCTGAGGAGAGGGTAAGGCCAAAGCCCTTGATCGCACTCCTTCTAGGAGTCAGATATTCTCGCAAGAAGGGTTCAAGATCGGTAGACTGTTCAGAATTTGGCATGAAATATGAAAAGCATCGAGTATAAGAAGGATGAATTTACATAGTATCAATTAGTAATAATATATGATATTATCCAATGAAATAATGGAAAATATGAAAAGCCAGACCTTCATAAATGCTTGTCCATGCCATACAAGCCCAGTAGAGAGGCCGATGGTGATGAAAATAGGGATGAGGATGAATGGCAATGGACACAGAACTACTAGGCCACTAAAGAATGTTTCCGAATTAAAAAACAGTAAATTAAACAAACAATCGAATAGTAAATAGAGTAAAGCTTGAAATTTGACCAGCCCAAAAGCATGGGAGAAGAGCTTACCTGTAATGACCAAATGCTTTCGCTAGTCGTTTTTCCAAACAGTCTAAGCGCATTTCAGTTTAAGTCAGTCCGAATCATCGAGTAGTGTGCAAACTCGGCTTGGACGAGTTCACTGTTTCTTTGAATGGACCAAATATTAACCGATAGCTGCACGTGTGTGAAAAAAAAGCTACAGAAGATGGAAGCAAGGCAGCCTAACTTTGTATAAACGCAAGTGGACGAGTATAAACAGAAATTTAATAGTTTAAAAAGTGAGTCACATAATAGAACTCATTCAATTTTGTCATTGTATCTATGACAATTGAGGTATACTCTCAAAAGATGGAGAAGAATAGTCCGTTTGATTAAGGTGGGAGGCGAATTTAGCTTGAAGGAACGGATATTGATCAAAAATGGAATTAATCACGAAAATATCGAAAAAAGGAGAAAAATGGAATAAACGGGAAAGAAAACAGTCAAAAAATGAAGAATTTTTCAAAAATACTCTATAAAAGGTAAGCTGCCTAGGAAAAAATGACGATGCATAAATGAAGCGCAGACTATGTGGGGCTTGAAAAATTCCGACCGAGCTGGCTAAGCAAAGAAAGTCGGTGGCTAGAACTAGTCAACAGTTTTTTTGAGTACTACTTAATTGCTGCACGATTAGCTCCAGACTGAGGAGTTGCCTCTAATTTCTTCTCACTTTCAGGAATGCGGTGGTAAAAGCTCGTCCGAAAAAGCGAGGTACCGTATATGTGAATAGCAGTATATTAGGATTCCTGACAATAATTGTGTATATAATTGCTTACCGTAAATGCCGACCTGATTGTTAAATTTGATGATACAACAAGAAACTAGCCTCTTTGTTAAAATCATGCACTATTGCTCATACAACCCATCGATTTTACAAACCAGAAATCCTGCTAAAGCTGAAGGGAGCAAATTACGATTTAAGCTTTGCCCTGCTTTTCAAATTATTTTGCAATCCTGAGGTTATCTTCGGAGCAATCTAAGATGTTGTGTGCAAATCCAAAAGTCTAAGGAAAAATCGTTTGCTTTGTATTGCCTTGTTGGAAGAATCCGGTTCCGCTGGCTTGGCTCTCCTCTTTATGTTTGTCTTTATGTTGAAGCCGGGTCATCCCTCAAAAGATTGGATACCCCTTTGTCGGAGGTCATCGGTTTACAATAGAAGTTGCGTTATTAACAATTAAAATATATAGGAGTATGTAAAATCAGTAAATACAACATTACAAGTATGCCATTCAGTGGATTAAATGTACAATCTAGTGGGATAGAAAAGAAGGTTCCCGATGAAGTGCATGGGCAACTGCTGTTTTGACGCTCGGGAGCTTGAGCAGGCAATAAGGGATCCGATTTGAGCAATGGGTGAATGTGGACAGCGGGGTATGGGTTCTCATACGAGGTAGCTTGACCCTTTTATGATCGTTTTGCTGTGTGCAGCTTGGCAATCACTCTTTCACAGTTGTAAACCAAGCACCTCTTTTCATCAAACTACTTTTTGGAAACACCCATTGAAGACAGCACCATTGAAGATGACTTTGAATGGATAATCATGCCCCATTTTTCCAAGTCAACCTACATTGCGCTAACCCTTTATCTCCTATTCAGCAGCTTGAAGAGTAGCGAATCCTACGTGGCCATGAAGATATTAAGGGGCAATAAATAAATCTCCAATTAATAATTTCTTTTGATCGGCCTGATATGGCACTTTTGGAAGGAGGGCAGCTGATTCCCAAAGCAAAGCCGAAAACGTTCTGTAACATCTTTGACTACTTGAAGATAATGAACATGAGGGTTGTGCGGAATGGCCTCATCCTCCAAAGACGATGTTTTGCTTTTCAAATGGCTGAGTCTCGACTTAGCAAATGTGTTCAAATCACTGATTACTGATCATCTCCGAATCGAAGCAACCAAACTGGAACCACTAAAATATTATTGAAACTGAACAGTTCGTTTATTTCTAAATGTAATCTAGCCACGGTCGAATATGAGAAAGCCATCGTTCCAAGGAATCGAAGGTAATGTGAAGAACTTGAAAACAGGAAGTTATACTCTTAATTAGGTTGGCAAATCAGTTTTTCCTCAAAGAAGGTGCTTTGTATCTGGAAAGTCTACCTAGAAATGCTGCTGTTTTAGATTCAATCAGTGAGCTATAGGGTTAACCAAAAGGGTTGAGATCAACCTCACCTCACACATCAACTGCACACGTCTAGAACAAATGGAAGAAAAGGTGGTTCCACTAATGAGCTACCAAACTGCTGCCAGAGAATGGACACAACTGTTCTCGAACTAATGCTTGGAATACATTTGTGTACAATGAACATTTTTGATTATCGTCTGGAAGAAAAGGAACAGAAGGCACAGATGTTATCTGCAAGGCACGAAAACCGGGAAATGTTTCAATTACTGCCGTGGATGATAGTTTTAACACATATAGAGATGATTGAAAAGTCAATTCAACGAGCTCCAAAAATGAGATGTATGTCTAATATGAAAAGAATGGCAATCTCGAAGGCAACTTCGAAAACCAAGCAGCAAAATATCGAAGGCCAGGGAAAGAACCACCTATTCAAAGGAAGATACAGCGGCTTCGGTCTGTTTGCAATCATTTGAATAGTAAATATCCAAGTGGAAAGAATCGGAGTTGGCATTATAGCGAAGTAAGTAATCGAAGTAGAAGAACCAGTTCATCATAGGTTTTTTGAGAAAGGAAGGATATAGGCAAGCTAGGAGAACTGAGAGTTCGTTGTCACACTAAGGAAGCGGTGAGGTGTTGTCATCAGTCCAGAGGGAGAAGCTCAAAGAGTGGGCGGACCGGGGCAGCCGCAAGGGGAAACAAGGCCGCCGCAACCACCGTGACGGGTCACGAACGCTCGATCAAAGCTGAATGTATCGCGCGACAAATACGGCTCAGTACTATGAAAAAGCGTACGACCAGTAGACGTAGCCAGTACGTCTGAAAATACGCCGAACATATCAGTGGACACCAAAGGGAATGTGGTAGGAGTTTCAGCACGAAAGGAATGGAAGCACTTGGGAAGGGTCACGTTGATGGCTGAAATTGAACACTAATACCAGAGAAATCGTAGAATCGCGCAGAGTCTGCTGTCGTTCCAATAAATGCGCTATGAGAACCATGGTTCAGGAATCGAACTCGGGAATGATACTCACATAAGCCAACCAACCCTCCCACCTCGTCAGGGTCTACTGAGTGGTACGAGGCCGAGCGAGTGAAGCATTGAATTGTACAACGGCTCGAGCCTATGAATAGACCAGATATGCAATCATACTGCTCCTAGGATTCTACGTAGAGGTTGAATGGGGATGGAGGCTAAGGGAGGGGGAGCATCTCAAACGGGATTGACCAACAACAGAAAGAACTTACCACTCTATTGAGGCAATCCAACCAAAAGAGAACAAGGCAGTGCGGAGATGATTCAAAGGAATTGTATTTCTGGAAACCGTTCAGGACAAAATTGCACTTTCAACAAGATTTCTCCCATTTTGGTCTGCCCGAACGACGCAGACAAAAAGCTAAAGTGCTCAGACCGCTTTTTAAGATCATCCTGATCTTCGTTTTTGAGCAAATTCATCTCTTAAGGGGATGGATAACGAATGAAACTCTGGGTCGTTAGCCTTAATTTCCTCTACGCATATATGTACCATTGTTCATACCGGTTTTAGATGGTTCTTTATGAGAATCAGCAGGAAAAGTTCTATCCGGAACCATTTCTGAGATCCTTCCCAATTCTGGCAACCTCATTTATGGGATAGGGCTTCCGTTTACTGCAAAACCCAATTTTCCTAAGACGGTATGAGAAAGGAATGTCTTGAAAAGAAGGTGTAACTAAAAGCGTCATCAAGAAGTTTCTTAGTTTTGAAGGATAACTGATAGATACCCTCAACGGGGCATTGGAATGGCAAACAAAGGGTCGAACCTCACTCTCCCACATCAATTAAGGTGTGGAACTCTGCCACTACCGGCAGGGTGCAATCTTCTGAACTCCGCTATAATTTCATTACAGATTTGTCTTGCAAATATATATGATAAGGAACTAAACAAACAAAGAAAACGATATAAATAAGAGGTGAATAAATCAAACTTTGCCGTGCTCCTAGCAACGGAGAAATCCTTTTGTAATGATCGGAACTATTTGGGGAAATCTAATACATTCGGTACGGCGTTGGAATAAAAGTTCAGAGAAAAAGGACACCAAAAATGAAGTGCTTTCGAGTTTATTATTTCCACTGCCTTTGTCAAGCCACAGATTCCAATTAGGAGGAAATGACAGAGAGATTGGGACAGATCAAGACAAGACTGCGGTGATTACTTTGGTGAAGTGCGGGAGGTGTAACAGTAGACGATTTGGGCTTCATTTNAAATCTAATACATTCGGTACGGCGTTGGAATAAAAGTTCAGAGAAAAAGGACACCAAAAATGAAGTGCTTCCGAGTTCATTGTTTCCACTGCCTTTGTCAAGCCACAGATTCCAATTAGTCAAGCCACAGATTCCAATTATGAGGGAATGACAGAGAGATTGGATCAAGACAAAACCGCGGTGATTACTTTCTTTGGTGAAGTGCGGGAGGTGTAACAGTAGACGATTTGGGCTTCATTTTGTTAGGTACCACCCTTATAGGCTAAAGGATGAATGTGATTGCGGGACATATGGGTCGATAGAAGAATTCTGGCGACACCATTTCCGGTTCTTCAACCATCATACGTTTGTAGAGTCTTTTTACATAGAGGCCATGGAAAGTTCTGTCGAGGATTATTCCGTATTAAACGGAAACGATCTATCGTAAGCCGTTTTCATCTTGAATTTCCTGTCCTGTCTGGGAAATTCTATAACTGCGAACGATGAGGACAGCAGTGGCTTAACAGATTTGCTAATGTTTATCCAAGAAAATGCGTGGACTACAAGGTGAAGAGGTCGAAAATAAGAAATGTGTGGTCTTTCACTGGCTGAAGGGTCTGTATGTAGAAACTCGAAGGATCTCGTCTTTGACCGAACGCTTCATGCCCACTTACTCGAATAAATGCTTTTTTTCTTTATCCACCATCCTACGGTAGGTCAGTTGCAGTTGAGGTCAATGCTTTTTTGTTGTAAGAAGAGCTTTGCACCATTCTCACGGGTCCAAAGGTTTAAAGGTTCATCGCTGGTAGCAGTACGAGTTCTATTTTCGGACTTAGAGCTCAAAATCAAACTAACAAAGGAGAAGGTCAGAAAAGAAAGTTTTTGGAATTTATTCATTGGCTCGACTCACAATATCTATAAAGCTGCTTCATTCGCCATGGGATCCGCATTCCAGTGCATTTGAAAGGCTTGAAGTGGTTTCTTACGTTCACATCTGAAACACCAGTCCCGCGACTTGAATGTACGACTTTCGATGGCCTTAATTTGTGTAACCCTCAAGGACGAGAATTCGTTGTCGGGCTTTTTTGATGATAAGTCAAATGTAGCGGCAAGAATGACTTCTCCACCTGCTGTCAAAGTGTTCGGCTGCATCCGTCCTTATCCAAACTATTCATTCGCGCAAAATGAAACTCGTCCATCTCGGATACGTGGTTACGCTTGCCGACGAGGCGTAGCTCCGCTCTGCACAGGTTCGCAACAGTGAAAAGAACGTTGTGGTGTGTAGCTATGGTCTTTCCACAATGGAAGTTATTCATAGGCCAGCGTTGTTTCCATTATTGGGAAGGGATCGTGAGGGCGAAAAGATTCCGATAGTGAAGGCAGAGCAATTACATACTAGGGTACCTCAGACGGTACCTTAGACGGGACCACTGAGACCGTTGTGCTGTCTATTAGTATGAGGTTTCGTCGCTGTGATAGCGTTGTGAGCCGGCCGCCTTTAAATTTACATTATATTTTTTATACATTTTTACCCTCCATTTTATTTTTACCTTTTATTTACTTGTTCACTTTTCAATGCCGTAGTAAATCAACACGATTGTGTATGTATGTGGTATGTGCATTGAGTTCTTCCGAAGACAAATCCACAAGTGACAGTAATGTTCCTGTGATCATCGTCTTATTTCAGAACTGTATACCCTGAAGCATACGGTACCTGGTGATATATGTATCTATAGGAAGGTCGTGATTGCACTATCGGATTTGGCTTTGTTTGCGATAGCACGTGTGAAGTGGCACTTGATATCAACGACCGTCACTTGATTTCCTCATTTACGTCGAGGACGACGTAGAGCAAGTTGATAGAGATTCAGCCCGTAACCCGTACGTTGCCGAACCATGAATTGGGACCGAGTCTCTTTCAGAATGTCCAGCATGAAATCCTTTCTGCTGTGAATAAGACTGACTTCACCGTTCTAAGGCTTCCTGGAGTGGTCACCCTAGCAAGCCCTACTTACGCGGTAGCGTTTTGACAGGTTTCCCTGCCCTTTTGGTGTAAGCTCAAAACATCATCGGTGAATTTAGGTAGTGAACCCCTACCTGCTTCTCGAATTGTAAAAACTAATATATAAAGGCATAAAAATCCACTGAAGATTCGACAAAATTGGTTACTTTTTTCTTCCGAAAACAAAGGGTTGAGTTCTGTCGTGGGAGCCTTTCCCAAAATAATCTTCTATGAGAGAAATCCATGACTACTAATTATTTGATTATTGGCTCTGAAACCCATGGTCTCGAGGTCTCCATGCGCCTTCATTATTCCTCACCACATGCAAAATCACTCATTTTCTCGTGATTGTTAAGAACTAACATTGGATGCATTTCATCCCATCAAAGCTGTAAAGCTATTAAAGCGTCAGGAGCGCGGAAAATAATCATCTCGTATTCAAGGGAGTAGTGAAGCGAAAAAGTTGCAGCTGAAGCCACGAAAAATGAGATCTGACTTTGAGGGACTAACCGGATGTGACCATTAACAACTAATGGATCACTGACAATGAAAATCTAGCTGTAGATAGACCATACCGGTGAAGCGTACTTTTAAGAAGGGAAAAGACATGATACGATACTTTGTAGTGCTACCAGTAATCACCTCTGAACCTTCTGGGCAACGTATCGTTGTCACCCTATCACTCTAACTGTCTTTCATTCCACCACTGCTTCTGAATTATGTGGTTACAGGATCAACCCTTTCCAAGACGTTCAAATTCGCGCAATTGCCTGAGCACCGTAGTTCCAGGGCCTGATTTCAGAGATCGAACCGCTTTCTTCTCTTTCGTCGCATGTTTTCTTCAGCACTGAGAGCGCACTCAAAATCATTTCCACGATTTCCTATAAAGAATGGCGCACGTTGTCAATTCCCCAAAATTATAAAGTTGCTGGATCTTCAGAAGCACTGGTATTCACTCTTCTAGTTCCAGGAATGTTGAGCCGAAGAAAGTTGACTCAGAAGTACTTCAGTGACTAACTGGTTACTACTGGTTATGATCGTGGACTACAATTAAACTGTCGAGAACAGAATATGGAAGTATTTTACCCTAAGCAATTGATAATGCTGTTGAAGTGACAGGAACACTAAAAAAAAATCCGTTTTGAATACAATGGTAGTTAACAGAGACGGCCTTTGCTGAGAGTAGCTTAGGCTGGAACCGACTTCAGAGAACTAGCACCGTATGAGGAATTTTAGACCACTGCTAACGATATAGCAATGAAATATTCTCACTGAAAACAATATTCTGTACACAAGCGAATAAGCACCGACTGGAATTCCTTTGCTTGTCAGGGGTCTGTCCATGTAATTTTTGAGCTGTGGAATTCATATGTAGATGTTGAAAACTAAAACTTTCCACAAAAACGTGAGTTCTCCTAGCTCATAATGGTTTGAGGATGTTCTTCACTTTGAGAAGTGATCCCCTTCCTTACACACCCCATACTCGGACTTCTCGGACATCCTTCAGGCGATCGACACCCCAACTCACAAAAAAGGCTGGTTTGTACAACAATTTGAAATTTTAACTTTCAGGTTCAACAAATATTCTTGATGCTCTATTTCTCATCATTCGCAGTTTTCCGATAGTTGCCTAAGCTAAGCGTATGGATAAATAAGTAAACAAAATAAAATAAATAACACCACAACTATTCAATAATTTATATACATAAGATAATTCTTCTTTTCTACACAACAGTTTTCTAATTTCGTATCACCTCTGTATAAGGAGATTTATCGACTCGTTCATTGAAATCATCGGTTCAACTTTCATTACCTATACCCATTGACCCATGGATATGCACTTTTCGAGGAAAAGAATCTGTTTGGCAGGATTTGGCTTGACATGGCTGATTTTTTTGTGTTTGGAGTGAGAAGCATTCCATGATCAGTTGATTTGCAGGCTGCTGATGGCAACCATGACGAACAGACCCAAGAACATCATGGCAATTTGTTTAATGTTCTGCCTAAATAGCAGAAAATCACAAAATAAAAGTATTACTGTACAGGCATCACAAACCAGAGATGGGAAAACAGTAGCATTAAATCCGTACCTCCGATCCTTCTCTTCGTTAAGTTCTGGAAGAATTTGAGCAAGAGCGATATTTATGAATCCACCGGCAGTAAATGGAAGAATCCAATCAGCTGATTGCATGGAATCATTGTTAATCCACAACGCGACGAAGGCCCCAGCGATTCCACCCGTAGCAGTAACAAGCTAAACTACTTGAATGGTGTCTGATCGAATCACATTTACCATTCAACCATGAACAGATGATCGCTAAACAGCAACTGCGGGTCATATATGGCTCATAGAAACTGGTTCGGTGGTTTCAGTAAGAGGTGAGTGATGTCGAGTTAGTGTCGAGAGAGAAGAGTTCATTTGACAAAACTTGCCATGGATAGAAGCCAAATGAAGGCGCTCCCATCTGTGCTACCACTAGTGTTTCCATTAATGGACCAATGAGCCAAATGGTTCAGGAAGGAAGGATTTGTGGAAAAAGAGGTAGGTGAACTATCGAAATTTTACGAAATACCTTCCATAGGTATCACCTACAATTGAATGGGTTCCGCTAGCACAAGTCACTGCACAAAGGCTTGATGGTGAAATAGTTCCATACTTATGAGTAAGCAAAAAACGCAGATCCTATTTCTTATTGGATTCCTTCTGAACCTTACTTAATGATGACCTACAGCTCAACCGTTTCCACTAACACTTCCTCTTTCTGAATGAAGAATGACCGTGTCATTGTTGTACAGCGACCATTTCCATCAGGAGAAACTGAAGACTTACTTGAGCTTTGACGGCTTGTATCCGATTGAAGTCTGCTCGCAGTAAGATAGCGAAGTCACTAACTTCATGGGGGATTTCGTGAACAAGAATAGCGAATGTCGTCATTGCGCCAAACTGAAATGAAATCGTTTTATTTGAGCTTAGAATAGAATCACGAAATTCCATTCCAATTCCAGTGCTTCCCCATGTGACTTCCATCGTGCTGGCGTTTGAACGAGTACAAGGCCTATCTAATGACTTACAGTGGCCATCTATGTACAAGTCAGAGTCTGCCACACTCTCAGCTCCGTAGAAATGAAGGGCTCGGTTAGCCTAGGCGAACAGCGGCCTGGTGTTCAATCCCTAAACTAGACTCCCCTGGTGATCAAACTACCCACTTTTTATGTAATAAAATCGAAGGGGTACGATCTGTTGGAATATGCTAATAATGACGGATACTCATCGGACGAGTTTGCAGCTGCTCGGCAGGGACATATCTGTCCGAAATAGGTGGCACTG